CTCTCAAGTTCCCTTTCAAATAGCACATTAAAGGCATATCAAAGTAAACACATTACTAAGTTCTACCAATTATAAAACTCGGCGTTGGTGGAAGGAGCGGTGCTTAAGAACCGCCTGGGGGATTAACTGACTGCACTTTGAGCTCTGCATTGTTTTTCTTAGCCTTGGCACTTGTTAGCATTTTCTGTCCTCAAATTATCCACACAACAATGCCTAAGGGTAGCTTACCTTCCTTTTAATGTGAGACAAATCTATTAGCACTGGCACAATCTGTGATCCACAAGGGACTGTCGACATATGTGAAGGGCAATTCAGAGCTCACCAGTTCAAACCTGGGTGAACAAAGATACATCAAAATATTATGGCAGCCAGGCCTCCGTACCGATGTGGCGCTAAAACATGTCCTCCGGAGCGCTGAAATGGAGGGAAGTAATGGGGATGTGGTACAACAAGAGTCAACTTGATGTTAGTGGGCCTTTTTGAATTTACAACCTGAAAATATTTGTTTGCTTGGGCTCCCGTTATTATCCGTTAAGGCATTGTGTATAGATCTCTAAACATGTACTTAATAGTAGCTAGCATATTAGCATTAACACTAGCCCTCTATTTTATTAGTGGATTTTATTTGAGTCAAATCCACTTGGCATTTGTTTCTTTCAAAAAATAAAAACTGATAAATCAGTGTTTTTATGATTCCACTCCTGCTTTAAGCCATATAATACCATATTTACATAATTTCAATCCTTTGTTTTTAGTTATCATTACATGGACCCATAGGCTGTATACAGATAGCTCAATGAAGCCCAATAGGAAAGCGCTCATGGTGAAGTTTTACTACAACTTGCACTGGCGGCTACATGCTTCAATCGAAATGTAAACTCCTCTCACTCAGTAACAATTTGTGTCACACTTTCATGCTCTCTACAATTGTGGTCTTTATATTCTGATTTTACATTTGTAAATCCAGATAGGAGCCATAAAAGGATTTGCCAATCAGATAAACTCTAGCCTGCCTTAACAACCCTCTTAGCAAAAGGTCTGCCCCTGTCACGGGCGCCCATATAAATAATTAGTGATTGTCTGGAATTTGTCAGAAAGAAAGACAGAGAGGTACTTGATTTGAAAAAACGACGCAAGCTCCTCCCCCTTCCTTTCTGATTGGTCTACACCTACGTTTCCGTAACACTTTTAAACTAACTTTGCAGAGGATCTGATTATGGATATAGGTTCAGTATATAAATTATTATGGATATAGGTTCAGTATATAAATGATTATGGATATAGGTTCAGTATATAAATGATTATGGATATAGGTTCAGTATATATATAGCTAAGAGAAGGGAAGCCGTAATATTAGAATTAATAAAATGACTCATTTTATATCAACATTTAAGGCCAGGAGGCAAGGTTTTTTTTTCAGTTTGAATGTTTAGCACCGCCCCTCAACTCGCTCACAGGCTTCTCATTTCCCCTATGCTCTCCTCAGAGTTTCTAATCATCACTTTTTACGGCCTGAATTCATACACAAGCTTAATCAATGAGCTCCATTTTTCAATTAAATTAAGGATTATAATACAACTTGTATGTAGTAATACGCATTTTTATGAACTCATAAAAAAAAAAAAAATGGGTATAGCTTCTTTAAGGCTAACAATAGGGGTGACAATATTATATGGACAAATAGATTTTAGAGCAAATACCAAAAATACGTTCCCATTAAAATGCCCTAATTGCTAATAGCGCTTTAGCATCTGCATAAATTGTTTATTTGCTGAATCCAATTCACTTGGCATGCCTTTCAAACAATATAAACTAAGGCCCTGTCCACACGAAGTCAAGCTCAGGCCTAAACGCAAAAATACTTTATCAATCCAGTGTATCGTCCATACGAGGCCGGCGTTTTGGGGGGGTGTAAACGAACATTTTTGAAACTAGGTCCCAGAGTGGAAAGATTTCAAAACTCCGTATATGCCGCTCCGTGGTTACTGCCTCTCCGCAATGTATCTGAGACGCTTGCGTCATCGCCCCACCTCTTGTTAAAGCACGCATGCGCCGCACTCAGAAAATAATGACAACAACAATGTAGCTTGTTGGTTTTGTAATCCAGTGCGACCCGAAGCAACAGTTCAACCTCATCGTCCGTCCATACTAATGTAGTACCAGCTCGCCCACTCGCCATGTTGTCTGTTTACAAAATTCCGCGCATGCCCACGGAAGTTTGGGCTTGATCCCGTCATTGCGTCACAGCGCCACCAACAGGTCTGGCATAGTTTCACAGCGTTTTCAGGCGTATTGACTACATTCATATGGACGCACACATTTACTGAGCTAACTCCGTGTTTACAGAAAAAGTTTCTGAAATTATAAGCGTTTTGTCTTCGTGTGGATATAGCCTAATACATCTGCCAGGTTGACGTCAGTTAAATAAATTAAATAGTTAAGACACATGTATTTAGCCCTTGACTTCTGCAAGGTAAATGATCAAAAGTGAAAACTTCATGGCTGACCTATATCTGGATGATTAGCTATGCAAAAAAAGCTTCCTTCCCTTTTCCTTGGCTTAACTTAGAAGATTATAGAAGTTCCTTGCCACTGCCGCTCGTGAGCCTGGCTGGAGTCTGATCTAGGACTGGTCTCTTGCCAGATTTGGAGGAGATTGGAGATTTCAAAGTCAAGTCAGTTCAAAGCCTCGACTGGGAAACGTTCAAAAGAACACAGTGGACCAAGGAACAGCGAGGACCGGGGGTAAAGAGAGCTCTTTAGTGAAGGGCAAAGAATAGGAGGATGAGAGCAAGACTTGAAAAGAGTGTCACAATTAATGGTAATGGCCCATTCAGGTAAAAAGTAAACTCTTTCTAAGGCATTGCGGACAAAAGTTGGTGTGAAGATGGTACACTTAGGAGTTTAAGGTATAGGTCTAAAGCTGGGGAACCTAACTTTCAAACAACATAAACATAACTATGTGAGAATATCTGTATAAATAGTTGCTAGCTCTCAAAACAGTTCTATCACTGGTTTTCACATACATGTAATTGTTGCCCTCTGTCACATCTTCAGGACCACCCTCACTTATCCAATCAGCACTCAGTACAAAGAGTCAAATCATTCTCACAATTATGCATTTTCTTTTTTACGTTAACACAACTCTGTCGGAACAAACTAAATTTATTATTTAAAAAGAAGTTGCCCAGGGACTACCCATGAAAACGATATGATGAATATAAATATAGTCGTATAAGTCATATATTTATCATGGTATTTATTGTTTTTTCATTATGACAGTAAATGGGATCATAAACTACTGGTTGACTGCGCGGAATACGTGCGTAACATTACAGGGCTGTGTGTGCACTAATTGCCCAAAAGGAATCTGGTGTGTGTGAGTGAATGGTTGATGATGGTCGGAGGGACCGATGGCATATACTGGTTGCCTTGCTTCTGTCAGTGTGCCCCAGGGCAGCTGCGGCTACAGCAGTAGTTTAACACCATTGGTATCACGTAAAACAATAACAAAAGCGTCTATGAGTGTCGTGAAAAGTGCATATAAAACTGATGCTTTATTATTTTTATTATTAGATTTTTGCAATTAAGAATGTAATATAAGATTACCTCGAAAACACAAGTATATTTTCATTTCATTTTTATTCATTCATCTAAAGACAAAATAAAGGAATGTAGCTGCGTCATCATCCGAGGTGCACAGAGAGGTGTCTCGTGTTCTCTCACAATGATGCTGTTGTGTCACCGTGGTAACACCCTCAACACCCTGCTCCCAGCTCCACAAACATGTCTGGAATTGACATTAGTGTGGTACAAGGCTGCAAGAGCACGCCCTCACAGATTTAAGTGGGGCTTGAGAGGGTCATACAGCTTCAGAAGTGAGAGGCAGTTCTAAAGGGGTTAACATACTGTAGACAAAACTATGTAATGAAATGTACAGAAAAACACAACCATTTTCCATTACAGAGAAATACAATACAAACAGTGGGCATTGTGATTGAGGTTATATCCAGTTTAAGAAGAGCAATAACCAGTAATCACTTTTAGAATTGTGGATGACGTGTTTTTACACTTTTTGAATGGTCATGGTCATAATAATTATTATAGAGAGTATGAAAAGTGTATTCAAGTTGGATGCATAGTAAAGTGTCAATTATATCTGGACTTTAAAAGTTAAAAACTAAAATTAAAATAAAAAAAATCAAACACAATCAAGACAAGTTTGACAAATACATTTTTGGAACATTTTTGAAAAACCAGATCAGCCTCTGACTTGATAATTCTGTGACGCCAGATACATAGAAAATAAAGGTCATCAGTGACAAAGCGGCAGGTGAACTCCCACAGATTAACACAACATAAGTAAATCAGTGCATTTAAATAGGAATAATTTTTTTTTTAAATGACCCATGACAAATGTGTTACAGATTTGATTATATCCGTAATTATATAAAAAAAAAATACTTTTTTAAAAATGGATGGTCTGGTATCCCAGTTAATTGGTTTACTATATGAAAGTAATCACTTTGTTACTGAAAAAAAAGATAATCTATTAATGAAATGTGGACATCTGAAAATATGTAACAAACATCTGCGTAGCTCATTCCGTCAAAGCATCACGTCCGTTACTCAATTTTTTTTACTAATGTATAACAGTTATCTTCTTGCAACTACTAATGGACAGAAAAGGTATTTGGATAAATGAAAAAAAATATCTTCTGATTATTAAAATCACTTTAGTGTGAACAAGCCCAAAAACAAAAATAATGAATGATATCACAAGACATGGATATAATGCTGTTATTGTGTCCACATGATGCTGGCTGCCACTGGTCTATAGGGGTGGAATTATCTGGAGCCAATGCCTCTGCCTGTTGTTTTTCAGTCTGATTCAGCAGTCCTGCTCTTCCCTCTGTAAGCTCGGTGGCCACAGGGAATGCCAGCTCATCGACTATTATAATGATGGCCTCCCCACTGCGCTGGTTCTCTGACTGCTCCTCTCATCCACACAACCCAAATGTCCTCCTCTCTCTGCCATCCTTCTCTTCTGGCTAAAACAAGAGCTTATTCCAGTTTGTTTTGTTCTACTGAAAATTCAGTATGAACAAAATTCAATATGAAAAAAAAAAAACCCAAACATTGCAGAACTAGAAAACTTTGCAGACAGTTAATGAGGCCTGCCCATGTTCAATGACTCCCCTCTAAACAGTGTGATCTGAGCAGCGTGCTGACACAAACACTGATTTGATCTGCACGTCGCACTCACCTTGAGTTTGTCAAAGCGCTCGGTGAGTGAGCACACCTGGTGCTCGCGGTGCCGGCCCACCAGCTTACACAGCGCACAGATGAGTTGGTCGTCCACCATGCAGTACATGTTGACCTTCTCGTTCTCGTGCTCCATGCAGGTGAGGCCTCGGATGTGTGTATCGGGCACCGGCTCCACCAGGCGGTGACTGGTAAAGGGCTTTTTGTTGGGGTGAGTGGCCCTCAGACAGCGGTCACAGTACGACACTTCACATGTCACACACGTCTTCACCGCTTCTCTGGGAGGATCCTGCTCGCAGAACTGGCAGCTGATACGATAATCCATCTTGGCAATGACCGCCGGGCTGTGGTTGGCGTTGTTGTGGTTGGTGTGGTTACTATGGTTACTGTGGTTACTGTGGTTGGAGTGATTGGCGAGCGAGTGAGAGTGGCTGGAAGTGGCCGGGCTGCCGCGGGCGTTACTTCCACTGGTGCCACTGCCGCCGCCCAGGGTGCCTATTGTTCCACTAATGGTGGCGGTGTAAGGCCGCTGCGGAGGCGGCAGGCGGCGGCTCTCGGTGGGGGAGTTTGGGCCACTAAGGGAGGCCTTTTGAAAGCGGTCAATGATGTTCTGCAAAGTCACATTGCGCTTTAGGCCCTCCAGACCTCTGTGATTCAGCGTGATGACGTATCGACACGTGGGGCACTGAAAAGCGGAGATGGACTCGAGCGGTTTGCTGGTGGAGCAGTGAGACACCAGGATACGGTGGGCGCAGTTAAAACACAAAGAGTGGGCGCAAGGCAACAGCAGAGGGTCTTCAAACAACTCCAGGCAGATCGGGCACGTCAGCTCAGACTCCAGTGTTTCCATCTTCAGTTAAACCAATCCAGGAGTGACATCAATTCCCACAAAAGCTGGCCCGTAACCTGCAAGGAAGAAGAGAAAAATAAGCAGTCTGAAATGTTCAAACTTGCCTGCACTTTTCATCCCCAGGCGCTACTTTTTATTGAACACAACAGCAGTAATAGTGCACCCACGCATTCACCCGTATCTGATTGTAACTCAAACAGTCATGAGTTATTGGATGCAGGTAGGAGGGAGTGGCTTGTGCGCAGTCAGCAGCAGTGGTACTTGCTCACAGAGGGTATCTTGGTTCATAGAAGTCATTAAAAAGAAATAATGTGAGAGGACAGTTGTTTATGCTTGGAGTGGGATCGAAACTTACAGAAGCATTGCACAAGAAAGTTCCAATACCACAAGTTAATGGGAAAGCCAGCAGTGTGAACAACTCTTGGCACCTAACATATCTGTCTCCCTCGGTGGCCTTAAATCTACTTACAAATACCATAACTGTAGGCCCTTATCTCAGCTCTGGGTCCCCTCAATGAATCACAGCAGACAACAGCAGCAGTGAAAGCATTGACCTGAGAGACAAAGATGATTTGATTACAGCAGCGTATTGTGTGGCAGGTGTCTGTTCCTCTAAAGCACGATTTAGTACCACACGGCTCTGCACATTATGACTAATCAGAAATGACTTTCCACATCTGGCATTGGGTTTTAGTTCAATAACCTGAGCCTGGAGACGTTCTATGTAGCAAAGATCAATACTTTCCCACATAATAACAAAGAAATACACACACATATGAGACGTTATCGCGATATAAAAGGGGTTCTACAAAGCTTATGCATGTAACAGGTTGGGTTCATGAGACATCACAACATTCCAAAGAGCTGATTATTTGAAATGGTGGTGGAGGGTTAAAACAGCTTTTCTCGCAACTATGGTACCTGTAAACAGTACATAGTCTTGAGCTAAGTTCTCATTTCTGAGTCAATCTACATGAAAAATCTCCATATCGTCTTTGTTAGTACATATCAGCTATGGTATAATTATTTCTCATTAAGGTCAATTGGTGATATTGTTTTTTTAAATGCAAATGATGGCCAGTGGAAAGGACTTTCAGACTTAAAAATGAAAAGACAGGTTTGTGAATCTAATCAACATCAATTGATATAAGAATGAATTACATGGTTTACTCCATCTTATCTGTAAATAATTATTATGAAATCATGTTCTGGGAAACCATATTTGTGTAGCGCATTCCACGGATCAAGGTCGCACGAATAGCGCTTTAGAATTAGGGTAATTTCCATTCTCATTCCGCTCCACAACGAGAAGACTGCACAGATGCTGACCCTCGATCAGCACCATTAGTGTACTCACGAGACATACTGTGATCATGCATCACTACAGTTCATTACTAGTGCTGATCCTTACCCATCACGTGACTTATAAAACACCATTGGTATATAGTGTTCGCTAAGTTGTATGGAACGACAGTTAAGCCGTTTTTGCACATTTAATTGACAAAAGAAAAAAATCATCCCGATAGCAATATTTTCAGAACTAAAACACGTGATTTTAATAACTTAGTCATCAGCTTTCTGTAATCTTGAGGAGACATTTGAGATATTTGAACTCTTTCAATCTACTGGACAAAAAAAATGGAGAATGGATCTGCCCACTTGTTGATGTTCCTGAAGAGCTGAGGACGTGATCGATCAAGGAATTCAATGTTTTTGGCAGGAGTGCCTCTGCCCCTCACTTTGGACACTTTGGAGGACGCAGCATTCACAGACATTTGCCCTAAAATATAACTGTTCCTTTCATTTCCTTGCCTAATGGGTTGGGATTGATCGCTATGATTTGATGCAATTGACACTCTGCGTGTTGTTTTTATGCTGTGCTCATACAATAAGTGATGGCCATGTGTTTGAAATAATAAGATGGATGAAAATGTGATTTGCTATAATGGAAAACTCAGTATATAAAGTTTTAAAAAATCCCTTTAGGGACATTAGGAAAGGAATCCCTTTTGCAAAATTGGAGGATGGGTCTAAATGACCAGTATAGTGAGCACTGGGCTAAACACACTCGACTGTGAAATAAAGATGCCCCAGACAACAATCACATTTAAAGCCATCTTACCTGAAAGGCAATTCACATTAATGGAAGAAGTGATTCACACAAAAAGGTTACTGATGTCACATGTCATGTGTGACAAGCTGCACCACTTTTACAAGCTATCATTATTCTTAGGACAGGTCCACTGAGTTCAGCCTTGGTGCATACTTCTTTTACTGTCGGGAAGGCTTTGAAAATATTGATCACATGCTACAAACCTTGTTCCCTCATCAAAAACTCGCCACTTTTGTCTAAAAGCTCCTGTCTCAGACCTGTAATAGTACAATGTCATTGTACTGCTATCGCACTCTTGCACCACTTTAAAACAATTGTATGCCCATTAATTAGTTATTAGGTTGATTCATATATCAGGCAAAATTATATTAGTTACAATTGCAAGGCTGTGTTTGCAGCCAGGGATTTTCAAATGTTTTACATTTTAAAACATAAAATTTGTGTTATAAGTTGTATTCTCATTTAAAACGCCATACATAATGCATCATATTTCTTCTTTAAGCACTGAAATCCCAGCAGCGTCTGTCAACTCCATCTTGGCCTTTAAATACCTCTGTGACACACACTGGCCCCACCACAGAGCCGCTCCCTCTCAGTGGTGTCTGCAGGAGGAGGGCACTGACCCCTGCCTCGCTCTGCTTTTACAGAGGTGTTTCTCAGATGCTTCAGTCAGGCCCAGCAGAGTGCTTTCCCCTTTCTCAACCCTTAAATACTGTCTGTTCACACTAGTATTTAACACAAACACCTTTACACTAAATGACAAAATGCTCAAAATATACAGGTTTCTACTGGACTGGTCTAACTAAAGCAATGTGGTTCAAATAATTTAAAAAATTTTTAACCTGAGAATGGATTTTTCTTGCACACCTCTGACTACTACTACTACGAGTACGAGTACGACTACGACTACTACTACTACTACTACTGCTACTACTTGTGGAGGTGTCAGGCTGCCATGGTGTGTTGTGTGCCCGGTGCAGAGGTGTTTGTGTGGGCATCCTGACAGGCTGCAGCACATGAGCTTTGGTCCAGAGCCAAAAGATGACATCAGAGCAGTACATGCAGCTGGCTCTACCACTGTGGTAAAAGTGCTCTGCTCCTTACACTTTGAATAGCTTTGGCTCAAAAGTCAAACAAAAGACAAAAAAATGCCATCCAGAGTTTGAAACATAATCTCCAGTAGCCATCGCGATTGCAGTTTTCTCATCTACATATTAGGATTAAGAATAAGATTAGATAATGGGATTCTTTATTCGTCCCAAAGTGGGGAAAATGATCATGATAAACTATAATATTGAAAGTACTTCATGCCACCGATGCTAGTCCAACAAATTAATTATCTTAGTAAAGCATTTGTTTCCTTCGTCCATTTAATAAAAAAGCCTGTCATAAAAATAAACAGTAATACTTAGGCATTTTATACCTATTATTTCATTGTTTTTCATAGAATACTGCAACTTCTTTCTACTTTTGCAAAGAAACTGAACAGACATTAAAGTGATTGTCTGGAGTTTGTCAGAAAAAACAGAGAGAGAGGTACAGGATTTGAAAAAAACGACCCAAGCTCCCACCCCCTTCCTTCCTGATTGGTCTATGCCTACGTTTCCGTAACATATTTAAACGTTAATCAGAGAACACATTATACATATACATTACACGAGTTGACAGCCAAAAAATGGTCAGGAGTTTCTCAACTGATTTAGAATAATTTTGGTGTTCTGAGTCCGAATATCACATGCATTTTGCAAATTTGATGGAGTAAATAAAAACTGAATGACTTTGGATACGTTGACTTTTATATCTTGAGGGAAAACGCAAAAAACGTCAAGGGTTTCTCAGCTGATGATCCGCAGAAATTAGTTTTTTACGCAAAATCGATTTAAAAAAATCTTGACCTGATTGAGCAAAACCAAGGTCATTTTCAGACTCAGAGCATCAAAATTAGTTTAATTCAGCTGGAAAACCCTGGACTATTTTCAAAAAAAAATTTTTTGTTACCCAGTGTTATTAATACACATGCAGGGAGATTTTAAGAATTATTTGTTAACGTTTTCATGACAAAAATAATGTTTTAATGCACAAAAAAAGCGATCGCGGTAAACCCGGAAGTAGCTATTAACGTTGATTGAACATTATAGGACACATCTGCAGAGGATCTGATTATGGATATAGGTTCAGTATATAAATGATTATGGATATAGGTTCAGTATATAAATGATTATGGATATAGGTTCAGTATATAAATGATTATGGATATAGGTTCAGTATATAAATGATTATGGATATAGGTTCAGTATATAAATGATTATGGATATAGGTTCAGTATATAAATGATTATGGATATAGGTTCAGTATATAAATGATTATGGATATAGGTTCAGTATATAAATGGGTAACTCAGCGCGGATGTTCAGAATTCTTTGTTCAGTTTTCACGTAGTTTCAGAGCCTAATGGAGGCTCCTCAAAAACAAACAACTGAGCATGCGTGGAGCTACGAGTATCAGCGCCGATGATTGACAGCCCTTAGCATCACTTGATTGGTTAAACTGGACGGCATTATGGATTTTGAGCTATAGCTAAGAGAAAGAAAGGCGGGACTTACCTGTAATATTAGAATTCATAAAATGACTTATTTCATATCAATATTTAAGGCCAGGAGGTCAATTTAATACAATTCTTAAAACGTGTAACTCATTTAGAGTTATTGATTGCCAAAATATGATGTTTTATCAATAATTTGTTAAAAAATAAGGCAATATAGTAGTTACTGAGACCGGGAAACAGATGTCAAGACACTTCTAACCATGAAAGGGCACTAAAAGATCCTCTCATTTGCACAGACAGAATACAGAAGAGATGGGAGGATTATGTGATGGAATAATTGTG